AAGACCCAGAGGTATAAATGCATAGAGCTTGTTGAATGGAGCAGTGAGAATAGTGTGCCAGTTAATCTGAACTGTCAGCTTGGCTGGATGGAGACGTTCCTGGAGAGAAGATGGGATTGCAAGACCACTGATGAGCTCATAGCTGCATGGGCTAGGAGGTGGGGCTAGCTGGAGGAAGTGGGTCATAGGGTGTGACCTTGTAGACTGTATCTTGTCCCTGGCCCCTTCCTCTCTGGTTCTCTTTTTTTTTTTTTTTAATTAAGAGTAAAAGAAGGATGACATAGTAATGGGGGGCTTACCGAATTACAGACAAAGTGGTAGGAAATTATCAATGGTGGTTGTTTTATAAATTGTTATCTACAAAATAGTTTCTGAGGAAAACAAACAGACAAATAATAGTGAGTTACAGACAAAAGTGGTAGGAGGTGATCAATGGTTGTACTATACTTTGGTATCTTCAAAGTGGTCTCTAAAGAAAATAAATACAGCTATACATGAGTGACAAATTGAATAATCATTACATACATCCATTTACAAAATAGCATAGAAACAATACAAACATTACAGAGTTATGGACAGATTAGTAGGAAAATATCAATGGCTACTGTAATACATGGTGGTATCTTCAAAGTGGTTTCTCAGGAAGACGGAGATATGCAAAAAAGATCTAACAAGTAGTTACAAGCTAAGGGTTGTGAAAAATAGCATATTACCTCCTCACCAGTGACTCCTTTCACTGAGGTGTGATGGCTGGAAGGAAGGCCAGGATTGAAAAGAAAGACCAAGAGACTTGCACCTGTATCCAGCAACAGGCTGTTTTCTTTTTCCTCTATAGTCATGATTACCCGGGGCTCCTCCATGGAGATGACAGTCTGGCCAGAGGGAGAAGGCAGAGTATGCCCCGGGCCCCCTCATTCCTGTTGGACTAACTGGTAGGATGGCTCTGAGCTCTGGGGCCTCCGCTTCAGAGGGCAGACCGATCTCCAGTGGTCACCTTTGCATTCAGGGCATGGCCCAGGGGCGCTTCTTAGGGAAGTTCCTCTTGAGGTGGCCTGGCTTTTAACAGTGGTAGCAAATGAATGTAGTCATGAAGTTCTTCCTGGGGCCCCAAGAATCAGACTTAGGGTCTGTTTCTCTTAGTGGTGCTGCAAAAGCAGCTGCTTTTTCTCAGTCTCTTTGTTTTCTCTCCTTGGCCTCCTCTTCATCATGGCTATAGAATACTGAGGAGGCAATTCTTACTAACATCTCAAGTGAGCCATCTGGGGTGAAAGCCATTTTTTGTAGCTTCTTGTCCCCAGCCTCCCAGTGCATTGGGACCCCACAACCACTTAGTGTCCTCTCCCCAACCGTCAGCACAGGCAGCAGGAATCTCGGTGCAGACTTCTCTGGAGCTCCACATGCTCCTCCACTGCAGCCTGTACTGTCAGGGGAGGAATGACTTCCAGGGTGTCTCCCAAGGTATTGGGCAAGGTCCTCCTGGTTTCCAGCTTCTGAATGGCTCTCATGACTCTGGTCAACTAGACCTCTGAGTCTTCAGGCGTAGTCTGTATTCTCGTGTTCTCTGAGTCCTTGTTCAGCAGCTGCTCCTCTGCTGACTTCTGGACCTTTCTGGTTCTCAACAGCAAGGACAAGAGCCACCTGTTGTGTGGCATGTATTCTCAGGGGTTTCTCCATGTCGGGATGATTCACGCACGTCCTCAGGCAGACCTCTGCAGCCGGCACTTGGCAGGCCAATTGTGTCATTGCTTCTCTGTGCCATGATAGTTTCCAACTGCCCGGTGGTAGCTGGTATGAGAGCCGGCGCACGTGAGTGCACACCACCACACAGCTTCCCAGCAGATGGCTGCTCACCTCCCTGGCACTTGTGTGGCTACAGCCCACCCCAAAGGCTGGCATTCTCCACCACACAGCTTCCTCTTTGGTTCTTACCCTGTGCTCTGCTTGTCAGTCACCATGAAACAAATAGCCATGCTCTATCACACCCTTCCACTGTGTTTCTGCTGTGAAGCCAGTCAGCCATGGACTGCATCCATGCACCAGAATAAACCATGCTCTGTCTTTAAGTTGTGGGTATCAGTTATTTCATTCCAGCAATGGAATGCTTAGAAGGAGACAGAAATTGTAGCAAGGTTAAACCAAGAAATGTCAGGATGGGCAGGTAAGGTGAAGCTGTGTTCTTAGAAATCTAGTAGCTGAGAATAGACAGTCAGCAGAGAAAAAACAGTCAGTAAGCCCTCAGAGCGAGGACTGTACCAGGTGACAGCAGCATTCACAGCTTTCAAGGGAGCTAGCACTGACCAGGGGATGTGCATGAGGTACTGGATAATGGAAAAGTGTGTAAGGATGTAGCCAAGGAAGAAATGGTGTGAATGAAATCTCTGAATGAAGTCATCAGTGTATCCCCAGTCCATCATGCCAAATGATAGAAGAGCAGTGGGGGCACATGTGCCTGGTGGGGGATGTAGGTGGAAGTGTGAGGCATTCTGAGGTGAACAGGGACACACTCTTCCTGTGATATTGCCACTTGATTAAAGTTTCCTTGGACTGTGAATTGCATCCTAAAGAAAATTTCTATTCCAAAATGAGTTGACTGGTTCCATACCTTTCAGTGTCTTCACTCTATTCCCTAATGTATTTTGTCTTGTTCACTACTCATTTCCTTAGCAAGTCCCTCACAGGTCTGTTCCAGAACACCAGCCTCCTCTTATCTTTTCTCTGTTGCAATCTTGTTCACCATGAACCTTCTGTGTGTCATTTTAGACGTGTCAATCATGCCTTCTCTTGCTTATTGGCTCATCCTCTTTGGTAATAATGATGGTAGGGTCCTCTCACCTTCTCCCAGGCATTTCTATGCCCAAGTCTGCCTCTAGCTCTCTTTGCCTCTTCTTTTCTATTGTATTTTCTCCTGACCTAGAGGAGTGAGGTGAAGAAATTATTTTACTGGAAACTCCAAAATTCATATGTAATAAACCAAGAATGTAGACTCCCTGAAGCAAAAGACAATACCTGATTCCTTCAATGTTCTCTTGTTTTATAACAGAACTGTGGGGATTGTTCTTTACCATTATTACCCAAAGGGCTCTTATGGGTCAGTAGCGTGGAAGCCAAAGAATTTCAAAGATTCAGGGTCAGCCCTCTGACAAGTTATACTACACTTCAACTTGGAACCATAACACCTTATGCCGCTGTAACAGATCAAAATTTGTTTGGAATATAGAGGCAGGGTTGATCCCTTGTTGAAATAGAGAATGTATGTAATAACCAAAAGCCAAATGAGCCTGAAAAGCTCAGCTTTCTTCAGAGCATCACTTGAGGACAACAGGTAGAACATGAAGGATCCTGGCAGGGCTTAGGTCTAAATGAAGGGGCACCTATGCATCAGCAGGGCATTCATTTTGGGGGTGGCATTTGGGGCAGGAATGTGAATTGCATCAGGAATGCGAACAAATCTCAGACTTAAGAGTGATTATTCACTGATTATTATATTTTTAAGTGAAGATGATACATACGTTTTCTAAGATAGCTGTAGCATACCATAGGCTGAGTGGCCTAAACAACAGAAATTTATTTGCTCCTGGTTCTGGTGACTGAAGACCAAGATCAAGGTGCCAGCAGGATTGGTCTCCTCTAAGGCTTCTCACCCTGACCTGCAGACAGTGGTCTCTCCCTGTCTCACATGGTCACCCCTCCATGCACAGGCAGCCATGGTGCTTCTTTATGTGTCTAGATCTCCTCTTCTCATAATGACTACGGTCAGTTTGTGTTAAGGTTCACCCTCATGGCCTTATTTCAACTTAGTCACCCCTTTCAAAGCTTTAGCCTCCAAATATAAACACAGTCCGAGGTACCAGGGGTTAGGATTTCAACCACTGATTTTGCCACAGGTAGCCTAAGATAATCATTGTCTGAACAGTGATAGTCATCACTGGTCACATTAATTGAGTATCACTTGCTATGTGCCAGGATTTTTGTAAGCATTTTTCACATATTATTCCATTTCTTCTTCATAATCACATAGTATATAATTAAAAATTACATAAATTACAAATCAATTATGAATTACTACTATTTTTCCTGAAAAGTGGTAAACTTAATTTGGCATAATTGCATGGCTGTAGTAGATGCTATATCCATCTGTGACCCTGGGTCCCTGTGAAATAATATGACTTAGACTAATAGGAGAGTCCTGTCCTCATGTTTTGATTGTTAGAAGATCTCTGGAAAGCACAAAGCTTCCTTTCTCAGTCTATGCCCTCCCTGAGTCAGATGATGGGACTGTATGAGCAGGTAGACCTCAGTCTGGCATAGAAGTCTTACCTGGACTTCAGCTTTGCACCTCACCATGCACTGTATCTCCTTGGGCCTTCTTCAGCTATGTCATCAAACTTAAGATTTGTGGTATGTGCTGGGGAGTCCCTTAGGAAACTGTTGAGTATTTCATATAAGCAGCACATTCATACTGGGCCTTCTCACTTAATCCAGCTAGCAACTGTGAAAAGTCTATTCTTATTCCTGTTTACAGAAAGGAAACTGAAACTGACCTAGCCAAATCCCTGGGCACCACCATTCCCTTGTGACCTTGAGTTTGATGACCTCTTCTGGGTGGATCTCACTGGCCTTAACTTGTAGTTTGACTACTCCTTGTGACTAATGATAGACATCAGCACTTATGCCTGAAAGAGCTAGCACTCATGCACCACTCCAACACCAGGTTCCATACTGTGTAAATTCCTTCTGGGGTTCTCAGTCTACAGATTCCACAAGTGAACTCACTTCTACAGAGCTTCCATTCCTGCTCTGCTGTGCAAAAAAGAGGTCACCAAGTTTGCACATGAGTAGAGCTGCCCCTGGGGTATGAATCAGCCAGTCATGGCACGGTTGCAACTTCCAGGCAAGCTGTTCTAGGCAGCCCTGAGCCACTCTGCCAGCTCAAAGTGAGAGTGCCACGCACTTGGTTGAAGAGTGACACTGAACTTTCTGTCTCTTCTCTGGCCTTACAGGAGGCTCTGTCGGTGGTAAGTGACGACCAGTCCCTCTTTGACTCAGCCTACGGAGCGGCGGCCCATCTCCCCAAGGCCGACATGACCGCTTCGGGGAGTCCTGACTACGGGCAGCCCCACAAGATCAATCCCCTCCCACCGCAACAGGAATGGATCAATCAGCCAGTGAGGGTCAATGTCAAGAGGGAGTATGACCACATGAATGGATCCAGGTAAGCTTGCCAGGCTGTACAGGGCTGGGCGAAACTCAAGGCATAGTTCCAACCCACATGACCAAGTCATGCAGATCCCTACTAAGTGGCTGCTGGCAAAAAAAAAAAAAAAAAAAAAGAAAGAAAGAAAGAAAGCAAGAAAGCTGTAGTGCTGGACTATGGAGCTTGTGCTGGTCCCTAGAAAGGTGGGGTAAGAAGGGCCAGGAAGCCCACCTTCACTCTAGTCTACACACAGTCCCCAAGGGCCAGGTTCAGTTCAGGGCTGAGACCTTATATACTCATCAAACACCTGTTTGGGGTCTGGCCAAGCCCAGGCCCAGCCCCTCTTGGGGATAATTTAGCATTGAGATTCTTTTCCCTGTATAGTTGAAGATACTTAACCTGTGTGAGGGGGTCTCATTAGAGCAGAGATGAGCAAACTGTGTATCTAGCAATGGCTGAGAAAGGCAGATGTGTGAAGGAGCTAACTGCCAGCAAGGAGGCACCACACCCAGAAAGTATGCATGAAAAATATTAGGACAGAGATCCAGAGCAAGCAAGATTTTGCTTAAGAAATGGTGAGAGGAGGATCTAGGAAGAGAAAAATCACAGAGGCAAGGACGAGCCCAGCCTCATGGACAGGTAGCCTGGGTTTAAGGTTCTGCCTCTGCATTTTGCACAACTTATCCAACCCTCTGAGTGCCAGGTTCCTCCTGCCAAAGCCAGGCTGTACGATTTACTTCTTCTCTGGCTTGTTAATTCTGGTACTGCAGGGAAAGGACCCAGAACAGTGTCTAGGACTAAAAAAGTGCACAAGAGTAACAGTGGTCAAGATGGAAAAAGACTTGAAAGAGAGAAAACATTAGCTCATTTATTACCTGGTAATTCCCAGTGGATTTTTCGGACAACCCTCTGGATCTAAAGTACAAGGAGATAAAAATAAAAAGCAAGATAGGGTCCTGACTGGCAGGCTAAGAAAAGAGGCCATTTATTTCATAGACAGAGACACTGACTCTAAAGATATCATCAGAGCAGTGATTCAATACGGGTGATCTGACAATTGTTGTCCACAGAGGGTAGGGACAAAAAATTCAGAAAGATAAGACTAAAATAAGAAATAAAGTTATGACCTAGGGTGATGATATTGATTAAGGAAATTATAATAATAAATTATAAAAGGACAAATATATAAGGGGCATATCACAGACATAATTCACAGGGCTTAGGTGAATAAATATTGATGTAGGGGTAAAGTGAGAAGGAAGAATCAGAGAAGACTGGAGCCTGGAAGTTTTGATGAAGGTGGCATTGTTAGCAGCCTAAAGGGTGGGAGAGGAAATGCTTTGGGGAGGGCCATCAGTGCTCCCTGATGGTTTCACTGTGAGCACCTAGTACATCCAGATAAAAAGAAGTCTACTAGGCTCTGGGAACCAAAGCTCAGGTAATATTTTGGGGCTGGAATTTAGGTTTGGGTTCAGGGGTTTAGTTGTGCATGTGAAGAGTTATGGAGGAAACAAGATGAAGGAGAGGAGAAGGAAGGGAAGGAGGCCATGGCTGGGAGGAAGGAAGAGCTTCTCCACAGCAGCTGCCTTATAACTGCCTTTAGGAACCCCAGTCCTGCCTCAGTCCCACTAGCCGAAACCAGGGTCTGGGGCCCCAGTCACCTTCCCGGATTCCAGGGTACAGGGAAGTGCAAAGGTTCTGAGCCAGGGGCCCCCAAATGGACCTCTTTCCACAGAAAGAATAATGATGATGCACTAGTTCCTGACAGCAGTAGAGCACATGTTTATGAAATGTTTATGAAACATTTTTCCATGTGCTTTTATCTCTCACTCTCCACCATTCTGCTCAGAGGTACATAATGTAACTCCATTATTACCTAGAAAAGCCCATTGGACTTTGATAGGAAAGTGCTCTGTCTAAGGATTCAGAGAAAGCAATGTTGGCACTAAACCCAGGTTTTCAGATCCCCTAGGTATCTCTCTGCCCCTCCCTCTCTGCCTGTACTTCGTGTACTTACAGCATGATCTCATTTCTGCCAACACCTATCCGTGAGCAGGCTTTTTCCACCATGGCTTCCAAATTGCCCTAGTGACACAGAGTTCCTGATGCTGGTCTCAAATCCAGATGGTATGTCTGTTGTAGCCTGAATCTAACCTCTGCTCCCAACTCCAGGCCAGTACCCCCACCTGCACCAGGCTGTTCTAGTAATAGCAGTTCTGTGGTCTTCCCTAGTCTAGTGATGGCAAACCTATGGCATGCATGCATGCTGCAGTGGACTGTTTGTATCACTGAAAGATCTAAAAATTTCACCATGACTGCACGTCTATTCTCCAGCAAACAACCAGAGTCATCCTTTCAAAATATTTAGCCCTCTTGCTCAAAACCCCTCCATGGCTAAAGGCAATCTTACTGTGCCTCCCACATCCTGCCTAATATCTCCCCAGCTCACTTCTACCCCCACCCCAGCCACGCAAGATCAGGTACTTCTGGATTCCCAAGCACACTTAGGCCTCACAGTCTCTTCCTATAGGTTCCTTCTCTTTGAAACGTTCCTACCCTGTCTAATCACATGACTGTATTTCATGAATGTCATCTCCTTCCTGAACATCACCTCTTCAGAGGCCTGCCCTGATCAACCCATCTAAAACAGCACCCCTCACCACTATTCATCTTGCCAGAATTGTTCCCCTGACCTCTTGTTACCTCCCTCACTAAGATGTGGGTAGGGCTTTTGAACAGCGCCTGCATGGTGGGTGCTCTATGAATAGGAATTAAATAAATAACTGAACAAATCTATAACTGAACAGACTCAAAGGTGAAGTTGTTTGTATATAGTCTTATAGGTACAGGTTGAGAGTCCTTCATGTGAAATGATTAAGACTAGAGACGTCTCATATGTCAGATTTTTTTCAAATTTTGGAGTATTTCTATATACATAATGACACATCTTGGGGATGAGACCCAAGTCTAAACACAAAATTCATTTATATCCTATACCTCTTATACACGTAGGCTGAAGGTAATTCACTATAATATCTTTAATGAACCTGTGTTTTGACAGCAATCTGTCACATGAGGTCAAGGGTGGAAATTCTAACCCTGGCATCAGAATGGCACTCAGGAAATTTTAGGTTTTGGACCATTTCCAATCTTGGATTTTCATGGGGTACATGTTCAGCTTGTAATTCTTGAACAGCTGGGACAGAGGCCCTGATCATGGAGCCTGACTTGGTGCTCAGCAAGGTTGCACATGTGGGCTCCCCATTACTCCCCTGCTTCCAGAAGAGCCTCGGCCCTTAGGGTACCAATCCTGGCCAAAGAGGGATGCCCCACAAAAATGGATTTTCCAGAACCCACTAGTCAGCTCAAGCCAGGCTCTGGTCACCCCAGAAGCCAACTGGGGAGGGCTGTGCAAATACATCTGTGAGTCAACTGAACATTTACCTGGCTCTAGCTGCAAAAAAGCAGCCTCTGCTTCCCACTCACCTCTCTGGACTCTGACCATCTGCAGGTGACAAAGTAGGTTCAGAAAGAGTGAAGTATGCTTACCTATCCTGGGGGAAACAAAGATAGTCTAGTGGATTCAGAGCCAAGCAGGTTAGGCACAGCAGTGGCCAACACACAATAAACGTTCTCTAATCACCAACATGTCATCTAGACTATGGGGAGCAGGAAGCAAGAATTTTTAGAAAGATGTCTTTGCTTAACCTGGAACCATGTCAGGCCCTATCATTTAATTATGCAAAAAGAAATGACCTGAAAAAATAAGTGCCAGGCTATTTAAATCTCTCATCATGAGCACTGTGTCTCTTCTGTTTCCTGAGTACCATTGACCAGTGCACTTTGCTACTTATATATGATTAGATTGTTTTCAAAGGGCAAATTCACCATAACACAAAAGGTAAGCAAGGATGTTTTAATGGTTCCTAACTTCAGATGAAAAATCCGAAGCAAGGTGTGTACCCTGGGGGTCTTCTGGCTCCTGGGGCCTGGGCTGTCCAGTGCAAGAGCTACCAGCCCCAGGTTGCTACCGAGCATGGCAAATGTGCCTAGCCCCACGATGACATTGTTCTCCCTATAAAATACACCCTGGGATGTAGAAAACTTAATATGAGAAAAAGATGTAAAACATCTGTTGATTATTGATTATGCCAAAATGGTCTCATTTCATCTGTATTAAATTAAAATGTCAATATATTTTGAAGTATTATTAAAATTCATTTCACTTGTTTTGAAATTTAAAAATGCAGCTACTAGAAAGTTTACAATGATCTGTGTCTCACATGCATGACTCACAATCTACTTGGATTGGACACGCTGGGCCAAAAAGTTTTGGACTGCCTGGTGAATGACTGTGTCTTCGCACCATAATCTTTGATAAACATGGGTTTCTGAGTTACTTCTTGGTGCTTATTGGTGGCCCCGTAGATATTTGTGTCTCTGGTAGGAAGGAGGCATTCCCGGTGCCTGAAGCTTTTCTTGCTTTTGATCCCAGCAGCAAGCCATCTGGAGCAGGGCAAAGGGTCAAGTAGAGAGACTGAGGTCTGAGGAGCTCCGAGCAAGTCTGCCTGTGTTATGGGAGGTTTGCACTCTCTCTTCTCATTTTCCTGTTGTGGTTGAATCTGGTAGGCTGGGTTGCCTGTGAAACAACATGGCCCATAGGTTCTGTGTTGGATGCAGACTTCAGCAACTTGATCCAAGTTGTGGTCTGCAAATAACTCTCAGCTGCATCCTGTCTCGACCACAAGGACTGGGGCAAGCATCCCATGAAAGCAAGAATTATCAGTTTTAAGTGGAGAAACACAGGACTTGCATGGCATCCAGGACCTGAGCGCTGACTCAGCCTGCCCAATACTCCCTGCCAGCAGCATGGCAACAGCATGCGGGTGTACTGGCTTCACTTCCACTCGGAAAGACCAGCTCTGTACACTCTGTGATTTGTGCCTCTCCCTAAATGCCTCTGTTTAGTACCTTCCCCAGCCCCCATGTACTGAACAAGCAGTAGGAAACATGCCACACATCACCTGGGGGAATCGTACTCAGAATTCTGGAACAGCTGTCTGCATCCAGTATGCACAAAGATGAAAACAACAAGTGGCTTAGGGTGAGGGCTTCATTACGGTTTTCTTCCCTTGAAATTTGCTTTTAACTTATTACATTTACTTTGCAAATGCAAGAAAGTCACACCTATGCATGGACCCTACAGAAATCCTAAGGTAATACAGACTACATAACTGTACAAAGTGCTTGCTGTATGGAGGACTCACTGTCAGGTTCTAATGTAACACTGGCTTGGGTAGCCCTGTGACCTGCTGGTAGCTGTGTGAGTAGTGGGTGTCCCCTCGTGGTTTGCCTGGGCTGCAGATTTGTGGATCTGATGATATACCTTGAGTTGAATTGCTCCAAGTTGAGTGGGAGGGTACAGAAGATTTTGTATAATCTACATGGGTAACTTTTGGGAGAAATCAGTTAGCCAAACTTCAAGACTTGACACCTTCTTTTAAATTGCCTAAAAATTTCAAGGCATTTTAAAGAATCACTAGCCCATTCTATATTTCCCTCCAGAACTAGGGTTTGAATGCAGGGGTATGCTGTCACTGAGCTATATTCCTAGCCCATGCTGTATTTTACTTTGAGACATTACCTTGTTACATAGCCCAGACAATCCTGGGACTTGCAATCCTGCCTCAGCTTACCCAGTAGGTGGATTTTTGCTTTGGACATCACACACAGCCTAACAGTCTTTTTAAAGCAATGTTGACTGAACACACAAAAATAGAAACAGAGGAGTGAAAGCTTCTATCCGAGGGTGACAGTAAAGGACAAAGGCTACACAACCCTTACCATGTTTGCCATGACTGCGCCGTGGTTTCCCTGAGATTAAGATACTCTGAGTTACATTCTGGAGCCACTACTCCTCTCTGCTCTATTGTGGCAGCCCTGGGCCCTCCTGTCACCTGTCCCAGTGTTATCAGCTGCTTGTGGGCCCCAACCCCTTGTGAGCTGCAAACGCGTGTCTCAATACAAATTAGCCGCAATGTAGGCAAGCTGAATGGCAAAACCTCCCCCCACCGTGTCCTCCTCCTCCCCTCCCTCTTGTTTTCATCAAGCCCTCTTCACAGGCACCAGCTGCCTCATTAGAGAGCAGCTTCTATGCTGGGCTTCACCTGTACCCACCCCTAGCACAGCCGTGAGCCCGTGGCCTCACTGTCTGGCGGAGGCACGAAGAGTGGATGCAAGTCTGGCGGGTCAGCAGAGAGGTACGCTTCCTTCTTCCTTACTAGTGGGCCAGTGCAGGGCTCCAGGGCGGGTGTCTGGACTTCTCCCTAAGGACAGCCCTTTGCAGGTCCTAGCACAACAGTATGGGACCAGGAACAGGGCCTTATTTCAAAGAAAGGACAGCCTGGCTGGGGAGCAGGTGCGTGCAAGGCTGGGGCAGGGAAAGAGGAGGGAACAGCTAGGCTTTCCATGGGCTGGTGTAAGCAGGCAACTTCCACCCCCTGCACATCCCCAGCAGTTGCCTGCTGAGCTGGAGAACCAGGAGACCTCCTCTCCTCTGCCTCCACCAGCAGTACTCAGGCCCCTCTCCTTCTGAGAGAGGCAGGCTTTCCCAAATGTCTTATCTTTTCAAATATGTTTTCATCTGTTCCTGGCACTCAGGACTGCCCCTGGCATCTGGGACTACCATGCAGGACATCAGCTATTAAGGGGCACTTTATTCAAGTGGCTCTGAGGTTCTGACTTCTCGGCAAGGCAAGGGCAGTTCTGAATTTGGAAATGCCCACAGGTCCAACTGATGTGAAAAAGTTTTTCAAGGCTCACCTCCCTGGTGTTTGTAAAGGGGAGAATCCATGGAGTTGGCCGCTCCTCTCCTGCCAACCCTTGCCCATGGTGTCTGGCTCTGGGTGCCCTTCGGGGGCTGTGTGTGTCCTTCAGCCCGACCCTTTCCCACAGAACTTCTTCCAGCCAATCACAACTTTGCTGTCTTGGTTACAGGCCAACTTAATCCTCCAGACTTCTCTGGCGCTGGGATGGTTTCACAACTGGGAAAGGCTACCAGACAGTGGTGGAGTGTATGTGAGCATGTGTGCAAGTGTATTCAGGTGCACATGTGGAGCATGTGCACACGTGCATGTGTACAGTGTGCGTGTATGTATGTGGTAGGTTATGGGTATGTACCTATATGCTAGTGTGTATTGTATGCATATAGGTGGCAAACTGCTGTGTATATGTATATCTTATGTGATGGAGTGTGTACATGCCTGTATGTGTGTGAATGTATGTGTGTGTGTTTTGTGGAGTTTATGTGCATGTGTGCATGCTTGCATTGTATTGCATAGGTATAAGGTGAGCCCCAATGTACATGTATATATGTATATGTATATGTATTGTGTTGGAGTGTGTGTGCAAGTGTGAAAGTTTGTGGATATCTATGTATGCACATTTGCATTGTGTGTGTGTCGTGTGTAGTGGAGTGGGTGTACATGTTTGTATTGTATATGTGTGTATTTGTGGTGGAGTGTGATTATTAGAGTGTGGGAATGTTTGCGTCAAATGTGTCTTGTGTAGTGTGGTGTGTGTATATGTACTTGTTTGTGTGCTAGAGTCTGTTGAAGCGTGTGCATGTTCGCGTTGTATCTGTGTGTTATGTGTGGTGGAGTGTGTGTGTTTCTGTGCAGGGCGTGTTCGTGCGCATGCGCGCAGATGCGTGCATACACGCGGTTAGCCGCAGGCAGGCGGGGCTGGTGTGCGTGGCCAGCCCAGCGCAGACAGAGGCTCCGGGTCTGACTAGAGCTGCTTCATCTCAGGCCAAGTCCTTCAGCAGCAGAAGCCAAAGGGCCAAGCGCTGGTGAAAAGCCCTGATGTGCTACTGCCTCCCTCCACTGCCATGGGGACATTAAACCGTCAGCAATCTGGGACGCTGACGGCTGGTTCTTGGTTCTATGCCTGGAAAAACAGTAGGCGCATAGTAAAACCTTAAATTCTAACATGTGTAAGTTATACATCTTATTTTCATTTTCAGGCCATGTTCCCCTCTGTAAGACATCAGGAAAAAATTACCGTCTGACTTCTAATATCTCAGTGGAGCATTTATCTCCCAGCTATGATAAGTGATCTTCAATATTTTTTTCCTTTCAGATTAAGAAACAAATTCATTTAATTTTCTTTATTGAATGTGCTCGGGCCTCCCCACCCTGCCAGAGTCCCAAAGAGCACCGCCGTTCCCTCTTCTCCCGGGCTGGTGGCTGTTCCCCTGCGGTGGGGATGGGTGGCTCCCTTGCTGGCTGGCGTGGCTGTGCTCCTTAGGGCCTCTCGGTGGTTTGTTTCTGCCCACGGCAGAGTGACAGAGGGCAGCGGCCAGGCCTCTGGAATGTCCGGAGAGGTTGGCGGCGCAGAGCTGGAAGGTTGTAATCTGAACCTTATCTGACCTCCCTGGTCTCAAGGCCTGGTTTGGAGCTGTCTGGAGAACTGGCTGTCTCCCAGGCTGCAGAGTGGATGCTTCCTGCTCTGCGTAACCGTGACTGCAGCCACTGCGAGGCCTTGCAGGGGTCTCCTTTGCTCCTGCTACCGAAACTGAACAGGAGCTGGTCAGGGCAAGACGGCACTGCCCCTGGGCAAACTTCTAAGCCCATGATGCTGCCCTGAGCAGAGGTGGGGCATTCTGCCTGCCCCCTCTGTGGAGCACCAGATGACCACAAAGGTGTTTCAACCCAGTCGGTTGCTCAATTACCAATATTGCAAAATGCTAGTTGCTAGTTGGGATGTGTCATTTGAGACGGAGTAGGGTGATTTGCTGTCCTCTTTGTGCGATCCCATATCACATCTTCTGTGCACTTGGTGGTCAGAGCTGCAAAATATCTCAAGGGCCTCAATTTCTGTATCAGGCTGAAGTTCTTGGATTCTATTCCTCCTTTACTTCTTTGTCCATAAGGGCTTTGGGCTTTGATAGAGAAGCTGAATGCTATGTACATGAGTCCTAAGGAAAAATGACTTTTTTATTTTTAAGTGCTGGGGATTAAACCAGTGCTGGGGATTAAACCATGCTAGGCAAGTGCCTTACCACTGAGCTACACCGTCAGCCTGCATCTACCTTTACTAGCTATGTAACTCTGGACCAATCACCCCGCCTATTGATTTCCTTAACCATAAAAAAGGAGATGATAACACTTTCTGTGCCATTCTAGGAGGGTTACTAGGAGATTAAAATACAACAAACAGTGTATGACAAATGCATTCATAGCCCACTAAGAAAACATTTTCTTCCAGGTAAGGCACCATGTATGATACTGGAGGTTAAACGGAAGGTAATAACACCATGTCAAGAAATAGCATCTTGAGGGAGGGCACGTGCCAAGCTAGCCGTCACACCATGTGAAAGTCCTGTAACCAAGGAGACCCCAAGTGCTGTGCTGCTGTGGAGAAGGTGCTCTAGCGGCAAGGACTGGCAAAGGAGTATAGTTGCCTGGCAATCGGCCTAAAACTGCAAGCTGCAGTGAGATGGGGAGGGCCGCAAGGCCATCCAGAGAAGTTCACCGAGGAGCCGCCAAACATTTTTGAGTACCATAATTATAGGGTTGGCTTGGGGTTTGCAGAAAGCTCTGGTGGCAGCATGGAAGGTGGCAGCAGGGCTTCATCCTCATCATTATGTCAGGTGGGGCTGGAGGTGGCTCCCTGGCCTGCCTTTCTGAGGCCAGCCCCTGCAGTGATGACTTCCGTCGGGCTTTGTCTTCTCTCGCTCTAGGGAGTCTCCAGTGGACTGCAGCGTGAGCAAATGCAGCAAGCTCGTGGGCGCAGGCGAATCCAACCCCATGAACTACAACAGCTACATGGATGAGAAGAATGGCCCCCCTCCTCCCAACATGACCACCAACGAACGCAGAGTTATCGTGCCTGCAGGTACACTGGGAATCAGGCTCCCTGGCTGTCATTCACATTGTGTGTGTGTGTGTGTGTGTGTGTGTGTCTGTCTGTCTGTGCACAGTGGAAAGGTAGGTCTGCCTCAGGGACTATCCAAACCTTCCCTGGTACCCAGTCTCTATGGAAATGCAAAACTGGGAAAGCTGTTCATCTAACCTGACTCCCTAATAGCCATCCAAGAAGGGATCCCAAATGTCACCAAGACCTTACAGTGCAGATTCCAGATGGCCTGCTCTCAAAAGGAGCACACTGAAGACTAGGTCAGTGGCCTGCTTCCCTAGGACAAGGAAACAGAGGGAAGGCAACTGCCATCCTAAAGGAATCCTATGAACTCCCAGACCTGGCTGTCCACGGCTTCAAGGAGGAGGCCAGCTGCCGGTGTCTGCCTTTCGCTTCAGGCATGTGCTTCCTGGCATCTGCTGGGTTCCACCTTTCCAAAATTATAGCCAGTGCTTTCAGTTTTAAAATAGAAATAACTATATTTAACAAATGGATCGCCTCCACATGTGTGCCTCCACGAATTATGTCATTATATAAAAATAGCCTCTTTTTCCTAGGTAATGGTGCTTTTGGTTACAGAAAATAAAACCATTGTTCAATGCTTCAGTCCATTGGCTGGACACTCTGCCCCAGCTAGCATCAGCAAGCCGGGCTGCCTGGGCAAAAACAGTCTGAGTCCTGCCCTGTGTGGAGGGGGAGCCAGGTAGAAGAGCAAGAATGTCCAAATCTCAAAGTGAATAACTAATCCAAAGGAACTTGTTCCTTGATCCAAAGGCTGACTTTGCCACGGGCCCTGCTTCCCAGCCGAGGGTGTGTGTTTTATGTGGGAGGCTGCTGTGGCTCAGCATCCCCTAGGACTCCGGCTGCACCAGGAGGGGTCTAGGCTATATTCAGTGTGGCGAGGGGTGGTAAGTGTGGCGAACAGTGAGGCAGGAGAGGAGGTGCAGGTCAGAATTGTTCTGTGCCCCGTAGGACTTAAAGCTGCTCAACTTCCTTCTTCACCAAGTGGATGAGCTTACAGAAGAAGAGCATTTTGATTGCTTTCCCGATGCCAGGCATCATGTAGATTACTTTCTGTACATTACATTACTTATATCACTGAAGCCTGAGCTCCTACCGCCCTCAGGAAACCAGGTGGTGATGGATAGCTAGCCCAGGTGCATCTTCTGCCGACTCACACACAGTGAAATGGTACTGAAACTAACCTGGTGGGAAACTGCTCTCCAGGCAAAGCCAAGTATCTCCAGGCCTTTGCTCATCTGGAATCATCCCCCCAATCCCCGCCACCACCGCCTGCTTCAGCATAACAGCTACTAGCACAAGAAGGAAATCTGGAGGAACTAGGGCACCCAGGGACCACAGATGGACTCTCAGCCAAGTTATTGGCACCGTTATGTTTGGTAGTCATTGGGAGGGCACATGGAAAGAAGGCAGAAGGGCCAGACTGCGTGGTTGACCCTCTCACCCTTAAACAGTGTTAAAATGCTTTCGGGGGGAATAGCAGCAGGTCAGGTTTCAATGGGCCAAGGTAACCATAGCAGTAATGATGAAAGCAGTGTAAATTCATATCAAACTGTTTTCAAAGCACATCACTTAATGAATTCATAAACTATGGATTTGCCTTATTATTTACCACTGGTGAGACCTTTAAGTGTGATCCTCAGACATTTTGTCTTCCCCCAGGTCAGCCTCCTGGACATAAGGGAAACTCTTACTTGGGAAAGTTCACAAATCAAGGCAATAAAACATTAGTGGAACAATTGATTGAATTTATGATGGGATTTTAAGACAAATATAAAAGAGAGCCCTAGTTAATCACCAGCTCCGTGTTCAGATGGGAAGAAACTAGGACTAAATCATCCAGGAAATACATTTGGAAGAGTTTAGCATGATCCAGAGTGGAAGATTTATAATTCATTGTGCTGTAGAGGGAGAGAAATAATATTGTGATAGAGCCCAGAGCAAGGGAGGAAATAATAAAATAAATAAAATATAGGGTATAAAAATTGAATTTGAGGCCTTGGTTGGTAAAAGTGAGGAATTAGGAGAAGTGAAGGATGAAATAACATGCTACATAATCCAACTCCCTCCAGGACATTTTGCTTCAGAATTCTCAAATGGTGCAAATATATTTCCACTTACCAATGGTCCATGCCTAATTGCTTCTGAAGAGTAAAAGAATAAAACTAAACAAGAAATTTATCTAGAAGAGAAACACATAGTTGCACAATGACGCTTTAGAGGAACTGTATTTTTTAGGAGCAAAGTCTTTGAAATTGGCAGGTGAGTTCAGAGAGTATCCTGAGAAGGCAAGAAGGGAGGGGCTTTCAGGAAACCTTTCTCTTCAAGTAAGTTCTGACTTCAGGCAGAACCCTGGCTGGGATTCTTACCAGCAGGGGGTCTCTGGGTAAGAGATTAAACTTTTAAGACTCTATAGTTTCCATCTGTAAAATAGGTAACAAACCCATTTCACAGGATTTCCCTAATAAGAAAAAACGGGCCATATGAAGGACCTTGCACATAGTAGGATCTCACAATCAAGCTATCACCAGTCACAGGATCCTGTGATCTTGGCCACCAAATGCCTCCTCTGTGTTCCCTTTCAACTTCTCAAGGCTGTCTCTTAGGCCACCCCTCTTTTGCTAGTTCCTCCATCTTCAGCAAAATACAGCAACCATTCCCATGTATGGACAGAGGTGGGCACTTAGAAAAGCAGACCCAGCCCCTGCTACCTAGATGGTCTCATAACAAGCAGGGTGAGACAGAGAACCTACACAAACAAGGGCAGTCAGCAGGACCTGAGTAAAAGCTCTCGGGTATTCATGCGGCATGAGACAACAGAACCTGCTTCTTTCCCCACCACCACTCCTAGTCATTACAACCTGGTTCACATTTTTGCCAAGAGACTTCACAAACTCTATCAAAAGAGAAGGTGATCTGGTTGGGGCTGGGGGCACAAACATTCTTGCCAATGATGGATATCAAACAAAACAGGCCAACTAGAATCTGAGAGCTAACAGCTGCCTTCCATAAAGATGCCACGTCTCTCCTCCTCCAGGAAGCCTTATATGATTCTCCAAATTCGTCCCCAGCACACCTTGAACTAGCACCACAAAATCCAGTGTTTAGATGATGCTTTTCCACCTAAATGGTTTGTAGGGATGGGTATTTCCCAAGGGCCTGAGCCATGTAGATGTTTTCTATGGTGAGCATGTTTAGGGTGTTCATTTGGACCTGCTAAGGATTGGTTGCCAGTTGAGGAGATGGGTTCCAGATTGTGACAAGGTCTGCCCACTGCAGAACCCACAGGAACACATCATGTGCACCCAGAGAGCACCCCACCCTCACCTGCTAGCTGAAGAGAGCTTTGAGGGCCCTGTAGTAGAGACGCATTATTCACAGCTACTCACAGCCAAAGAAGCTTCTGTCTCCAGCACAGTTCCTCACCTTTGAGTATTTAAATACCCTAAAGAGGTTTGGAGGATGACCTGGTAGAGGTTTCAACACAGCTGTTCCCAAGAGGAGAAAACCCAGATTGGACCGATATCAAAGACTAACACTGCTGGGTTTTTCAAATGCACAGATGGGACTGCATATAAATGTATGCATATATACTTCTTTCCTATAGCTATCTGAAGGATCCATGTTCATTAATGTTCTTAAAATACAGATGGTTTCTCTTTCCAGACACACTGGACTCTGGGTCTGTGAAACTGTTTATTTTCATTTTGATGCCACCATTTCTTAGGGAGAGGTTTCAATGGCCCGCTAAAAACTTTAAAGAGGGTCCTGTCAGGGTACGAAGTGAGGCACTGAAGAACCTTCCTGGGGTGCTGAGTGCTTCAGACAGTGCCGGATGCCATGGAGCCAGATGGTGTTCTGGAGAAACTGTCTGGATGGGAACTGGGAGAGGGAGAGAGAGATGGAAAGGGAGAAAGAAAAGAAGAGAGAGAGAGAAAGAGGGGGATAGAGAGAGAGACACCGAATAAGAGAGGGAAGGAGGAAAGGGAGAAAGATGGGGAAGAAAGACACAGGAAGGCAAGAGAGAAGGAAGATACAAGAAAGGGAAGGAGAGAAAGAGATGAATGGACAGAAAAAGAGAAAGGAAAGGGAATGAATGGAGGAAAGGAGAGAGAAGTTAGGGTGAGGAAAAGGAGGAAAAGAGAAGGAGAAGAGAGGAGTGGAGGAGAGAGAGGAGGTTGAAGGAGGGAGGCAGAGACAGGAGGAAGAGAAGGAGACAGTAGAAGGCAGAGGAAAGGGAGAAGGGGGCCACCTGGGCTGCAGAGGTGGGAGACCCTGCTGACCTGCCCTGTCCTCTGCAGACCCCACACTCTGGACACAAGAGCACGTGCGGCAGTGGCTGGAATGGGCGATAAAGGAGTACGGCTTGATGGAGATCGATACCTCCTTCTTCCAGAACATGGATGGCAAGGAACTGTGCAAAATGAACAAGGAGGACTTTCTCGGAGCCACCTCCCTCTACAACACGGAAGTGCTGCTGTCACACCTCAGTTACCTCAGGGAAAGTAAGTACAGCCCCAGGGCCCAGTGTGAAAGGAAGCTCTGCAAATCTTTCTGGGTTCCCAGGGAGCAAACCAGCAAAAGTAGCTCTGTGTCCCCTGTTGCCACCTGGGGCAGAAGCCCAAGGAGCAGCACCCGCAGGGTTGTAGCCTTGTCAAGGTTGTGGGGGCTCCTGCAGAACCTTCAGGGGGCAGATCCAATCCCAAGGTGTTAAAGGAAGCAAAAAGAGAGTGGAGAAAAAGCAGGGAGTGTGACCTGGGGCTGGAGGTGCTCCCAAAGGCTAGTTCCCATGAGATTCCCTTTCTGGAAACCATTTCTGCCTGTAAGTATTAGAGTAATTATGTAGAGACAATACTCTGGTTGGTGTTCACCTAAGAAACAATTTCAAGTCCCCACAGCAGACTCTCAGTTCATTAATTTGGGATTTAAATTGAAAACTGATAAACTTCCTTTTATCCTGAAGTCACTCTGGGCCTTCCGACTGTGCCTTGTAGAGTTTGTAAGACATTGTTCTCTGAGTCACAATACCTAACACCCACAATTTAAAGAGAGGTTTATCTTGGTTCACTGTTTTGGTAGTTTCAGTCCGTGGTCCACTGGCTCCTATGCAGAAGCAGCATCATGGTGGAAGGGCCTGCCACCGAGGAAATCTTTTCCTATCATGGTAGCCAGGAAGCAGAGAGTAAGAAGGGAGGAGCCCGGAAGATGGATATGCCCTTCCGGATCAAACCCCAGTGACCCAACTCTAATCAGGTCCCACAGCCTGAGAGCATACTCAGCTTTTGAACTCATGAGTAGATGAACCCACTGATGAGTAAAGCACCCCCTGATCCAGCCACCATTCAAATGCTACACCTTGGAGCACAGAAGAGTTTTAGAGGACGTTCTGAATCTAAACCATAACACAGGCAGAGCAGTTAATGCCATACAGGCAGAAATGGTTTCCAGTTAATGTATTAAGATCTTTCAGAAACTTTCCCCTGGTGTAACCTCAAAAATAAAAAGAACTTTGGAAGAGAGAGACTTTATCCAATATGAGGCACCCTAACACCAAGCACCTATCTGTTTGACCAAGTTTCATTTGATATGGAATGCACACAGAGAAGAGGGGTAGAATTCTTTTGGACCTGCTAATAACTCAGCTGTGACTCCTCACCAGAAACCTAGGTCAAGTGAGAAGCTAGTGTGTCCCCACATGTTAAAGCATTATCTGTGGCCTGGAAAGATGGCCCTAGGAGCAGGGAGTTGAAGCCACAGGCAGACAGACAGGGGCTCACCTAAGGGCCTCCAATGGCCAGTCGTGCTAAAAGACAAACGGGGCAGGTTCAGAACGCAGTGCTCACGTGAGTGGCCAAGGCTGCTGGTAGTATTGCCAGCATTAAATTTGGGAAGGTGCTTAATGACTCTAAGTCACTTTTAAAAGCTACAGTCCTTGGACAACACCCATGAAACTGGTTTTCCTGGTCTAATGGGCTCTGGATTGATTCACCCCTCATTTGCTTTCCATTGCCCAGTGAGCCTTTAGCTCGCCACCTTCATAGTCCACTGTACTGGGACAGGGCAAGGCACACTGGCTGGAAAAACTAAAAATCAAAACAACCTTCCAAAGCCCTTGCCTCCAGGCTATCCAGTCACCTCTCCTAGGTGTCTGGTAACCAGTGGGAAAGAGCGGATGGTGCAGTTCATGTTCGTCCCAGAGCAATGACCTCATGTCTGACTCTTGCTGCAGTATGAGGTCACCCACAGAAACAACGGTTTCATAAAGCGGGCCATTTCCACCCAGTTTTCCTGAGCTTTGAATGATTAGCATTTTCTAATGATCTGTATTTCTAAGCCTTCACGTGTTTGTAGATGGAAAAAATAAATTCTTTGCACAGAATTCTGCTATGATCTTGGCAGAGTGGGGGCAGAGTGGGCACAAAGAATGGGACCAAGAGACCAGCAGAGCAAAACATGGGTCACTCTGCCTTTTCTGCTGCTTCCAGAGTCATGTGTAGCAAGAAGTAAGGGGTCTTTGACCCTTTTATTTCTTCATAGGAGGAGAGATTCAAAAGTGTGGATATACATTGAATAGCAAAAGGACATGGTAATTTTGGGCTCTGTGGTAGTTGCCCTTGCTGGGAGGGTATTCAAGTGCATTCAGATTTGAGAAGGTAGAAGCCGATTTAGGGCATGTGACCTACAGGTCTAGCTCTCTGACATGTCCATAAACAGCTCCATCCACCTATATTTCCTATCACCCAAAAACCTGAGAGACAGACCCCAAAGTGAGATTAATACCTGCTGCTCAGAAGTCCTGGAATGTGCTAAGGTCATGGGGACCCTTTAGTCAACTTCCTCTTAGTGAACTGGCGAGGGTAGATAGTAATTTCTGCAGCAGTCATGAAGAAGGGAAGGGCAGAGTTTGACATTTTGGGGGCATGACATGGCAGGAGAAAGTGTGGACTGATTGTTTCTTTTGAAGAATATATAGAGATATTAAGAAAGGTGCCCCCCCCCATGATCAAAATAGGAAGTTTCCAGAAAGAGGGTTAGTGGATCAAATTTCCGGAGTTGAGAGGTGTAATTGAGCCAATATATGGAAGACCTTTGAAAATGCAGGACAGATTAGCAGCACCAGAAGGGTGGCTGGGTAACAGTAGTACATCTACATGATGCAAAGTTGCTGTGGCAATGAAAATGGTTACTGTGAAAAAACATACGAAGTGCTTATGATATAAGTTGGAGTGGAAAAAAGCTTACTTTATGTAAAGTGGTCTGTGCATTGACATAAAAACGATGTCTGCCTGCCAAAACAAAGTTAAAATAGTTGTATTCAGTTGAAAACAAAAATCTTGCCCCAACATAATGTTGTAATATATCCTCTTGAGGAATCTAGACTTAAATGATCCACAGAGGAAAAATCTTTCAGATTGACGCTTCTTTTCAGCTGGGGTTTAGGCTGGGGGCTCCAACCTCTGGGTCTGGGTTGGGTGGTGGAGGCTGCCAGGTCACCTGCTGGAGCTCATGTGCAGCTGACAGTCAGCTCCCTGGCTTGCTGGGAATTCCCTCCTGCCCACACATGCCTTCAGACCCCTTCTTGCTTTTCCAGACTGATGTACAGGCACTTCTATGTTGAGGAGGGAGCCCAGTGCTTGGGGAAAGGGTCCTAATTTTTTTGCTTTGCCATCTTGTGCCTTTTTGGAGGGTAGGGGTGAGCCACAAACATTTCCTTGGGTAACAGCTAAAAGGAAAATAGCTGAGGTCCTCAGCACAGATGTAGGAAGGAGCATAGAGAGAAGGAGAGTCAGCAGAGGAAAACTGAGGATCAGATCCCATGTGTGGATTGTCATAGGTCAGTAAAGTCAAAATTAGTGGCACTTCTACAATCTAATCTTTCTGGAGTCTAGTAGCCAAAAGAATACCTTTAGGCTACAAAGTTCTGGCATCAAATGTACTCTTTCTTTTCCTTTCTTTCTTTCTTTCTTTTTTTTTTTTTTTTTGAGATAGGGTCTTAGTATACAGTACAGGCTGTCCTTGAACTCACTATGCAGCTCAAGATGGCCTCAAACTCACAGCGGTTCTCATGCCTGAACCTCCCAAGCACTGGGATTACATTTGTGCACCACCACACTTGGTCAAATGTACACTTTCACAAAAGGTGCTCTGGTTATCTTATCTTGGAAGGGAGCTACACTTTTAAGTTGCAAATGTCAAATTTTAAATTTAAAAATGTATTTCAGTTGGACTTGGTGGCACATGCCTGTAATCCCAGCACCCAGGAGACAGGGGCAGAAAGACCTCGGCAAGTTCAAGGACAGCCTGGGCCACAAAGTGAGTTCAAGGCCATCCTGAACTGCATGGTGAAACCCTGTCTTAAAAAGACAAAAAAGACATCCAGATTCCCTATGTACCTGTGTGACGGCCAGGTGTGCTGGGAGAATTGGTCTGTTCTTCATAACCTGAGCACCTCGGCTGCCCCACACTGAGTGGCAGTATGACATTGAATTTGAGGAAGACTGAGTGTCTGGGTCCGGTCAGGGTGCCTGTGTTTCTCGGGGTCATTCTGAAGCTCCAGGCTGTTACCTGCTCGTGTCATTCACGTAACACAGACAGGCGCCCCCTTGTGGGCAACTCTTTATAATCTCCATTTCAAAGCGGATGCACTGAGGCCTGGCATTCTTCAGAATCAACTCCAAAGTGTCCAGCCAGAGAAAAGCTTCTGCTTTGGCACCAGCCAGCGGCCAGCTCCCCAGTCTCACACTGTGGTCGACCCTGTGCCTGATGACCAAAGCCAGGGGCAGCCAGGAGCAGACCTGTGCTGTGGCTGTTACTCCTTCTAGGCTTCAGATCCTGCCTCCCTCCCACCCACCCTACCCTGGGGCCTCCCCGCTAAAGCCCAGCTTGTGCTGTTCTTATTTGTACCAAGCTATAGAAGCCATCTGAAAGCTTTCCTGTGGCGTCTTGGGACCAGGCAGAGTAAGCCAACTCTCCCCACACTCACACTACTACAACCTCTCTTGAGGCGTGAAATTGGCAGCCTGGCCAGAGTTGCTCTCAGCCCACCCAGGGCTGAAGCTGTACTTGCTGTGGAAAGGGAGATTGGGCCCTTTTGGGATGAGACCAGGAGGACCTCACAAGCCATCCCCAACTGGCAGTTCAGCCTCAGAGCCACTGGGGGGAGTTGGGGATGACCAGGAGTCCAAAAATTCTCGGGCAGATACAGTAGGAAGAAGGGTTGTTTGTTTGTTTGTTTCATCTTACAAATGAATTCGTTTTATGGGTGCATCTGGGACTTTCAAATAGTGGTAGATCCAGAGAATGACATACATTGCATGACAGGGAGACCACTGAAAAGGTATCTGTCTTGATTCCCATTTTTAATTTAAACTTAATGGAAAACACATTTTACGTTTCATAGTCTTCCCACCTGCAACCTCAGAGGTTGGACAGAGGTGACAGGCTCAGCCAATTATGCTGATGAAGCACCGTATTATCCCTCCCAGCCCGGGGTTTGACTGGGAAAGGAGATGAGGATGCCAGCAGGACAAAAGGGCACACTGCCTAGACTCAGTAGCCAGCCAGACCTGTTGTTCAGAGTATAGAGCCTCCCACCACCATTCAGCTGGAGCTATTGAGTGCTGTGAGGAGGAGAATGGGCCATGGACTCAATGGGCCGACTGCGAGGGGCACTGTGGACTCTATGGTAACAGTGAGGCCAAGACAAAGACTTTGGCACTCGGACCCTTCTCTGCCTGCTCCAGGTGCCCCAGATGAAAAGCAGGTTAGGTGGAGGGAACGCAGCACAGAAGCAAGCCCAAGATGCTGTCCACCTGCAGAGCACCATGTGCCTGCTCACATCTCCTTTCAGACCCTGGTTGCTGTGTCCCATGACAGGCGGATGCACGACAGAAATTGAGTTTTCCTCATGTTTTTACTTTGGGAAGCCTGTTCTGCTGCACACGGCACCTGCTTCATGCTTTTTCAGAGCAAAAGTTGCCCCCCGCAAATAGATATACACCTGCATGTAGATACACCACACACACACACACACATATATATACATGGATGCATGCTACAGAAGTACTTAAGGAGAGAAATGCTTTCATTGATATATACCATACCGAGAATGGCAAAAATCGCAAATGTACAATGGGAGAATTATCACAAAATGCATTCAGTCACTCAATAAGCACAACTCCCAGGCCATAAAGTGGAATAGAAGTCCCCGTACCATCTTGTCACTGCCTTCCCCTCTCCCCCGAGGTACCCACCACCTTGCCCCCCAGGCTGTGGTGAGCTTTGCTTATTCCTTTGATCTAGCATAGAGGATGCAGTGGCTGTTGGGCTGAGGACAGGAAGGTGATCTTGCCTCCTATACCTTCTGGCTTTGTGATTCTTAGGCAATGCTCTGACTTCTTTGAATGCTGAGCTTCTCATCTGTGAGACAGAGTGGCTTTGGCTCATGCAAGGATGAAGTGAGAGAACAGATCAAACGTGTCTGACACCACCTGTGACCCAAGAGCATTGGCTTCCCTCCTCCCCATTGTAGCCAGCTGACTCTGGTGTCAGGAAATGCTGGGACCTCAGGGGCTACCAGACCACCTCAGGGCCAGCCCCTAGAGATCTTCAAAGTAGTTGGAGGAAGAAATCCAGAGCCATTGAGCAGGAGGTGAGATTCTAGGGAGGAATTTCATGCAGCAGAACAAGCTATCTTAAGAAAAGAATGTGCATGAGGTTAGGGGTGTGCTTCAGTGTTATGGTGCTTGCCTAGCATACCCAAGTCCCTGGGCTCAATATCCAGTATCAGAAAAAAAGAAAAAAACAAAACAAGGTGGCAGCTGGAGTGTGCTGTGTCACCCTCTCTTCCCTGAGGACCTGGTTACATAAAGTTTGCAAAGAGAAGGGAATGCAGGCCCCTTGGGACAGAGGCCAGGTGCCCCTGGCCAGCCCCTTCTGGGGGAGGCTGCGTCACCTTCCAGGAGTGAAACTTGAACCAAGAACAGTCTTGGGGCAAAATCCTTTTCCTAGGTTACCATGAAATATGTATTTCATGCAAGCCTTGGAGAGGTCAAATGACCCTTTTTTTTTTGGCTTTCTGGGAGTTTCCTGTGGAATTCACGTGTGCCCGAGGAAGACCTTTCACCACGGGGGAAATTTAATAAATGTGGTTTATCTAAGCTCCGTGCTCTCAGCTCACTTTGCACTAATGACTCGGGCCGTTTGCTCCTCAGAGGCCATCATTTTTCTTTATTTGCTGCAGCAGTGAAGTTTCAGCCTGAGGGAGAGAGTGTCGGGACAGAGAGGCAGACATTCTTGGTCTGACTCCTGAGATTTTTTTTTTATATCCCCTTGGAACATTTGATTCTGTTTCTTAACCTCCTTCCAGTCATGGAGGATTATTTCTTATTGCAGCAGAACCCATTCATAACTCTAATTCCAGAGGACAAGACGCATGCTCAGCAAGCTTTTGGATAAAGAGTTCTATTGTATGTAATTGTAGTGTCTGTGGGAGGATGGATATAAAACAGCTAGAATTCACTGAACTCTTATTATGAGCCAGCTCTGCTCTGAGCACTTGAAATGTGTGATTTTATTTAATCCTCACAACTGCAGTGTCAGGTGGGTGTTGCTGTTAGCCTGTTGTACAGATAAGGAACTTGTTGCTCACACAAATGAGACAAATTGGTAGGGTAGCCAAGCTAGTCAGTGGTAAGAGGCAGGTCTAATTTTAAACTCTTATTTGCATAATAACCTATACTAAAATGAAGTCGCCTCAACCACAGTTTGACATGGATATTCTTGTGCATAGAACCACCAAACGTAGCTGGCTCAAGCAACTGTGTCATCTATAAAATGTTGTCCTCATACCAGTGCTTCAGCATATACCAGCCTCAATCCCACCTCTGTCCTCATCTTGGTTTCTACCCGGAGCTGTTTCAGAGCAAGAAGGAAGAATCACTGAAGTTAGAAGTCACAAGCCCCGGGCAGTTGAAGGATTCTTACAAAATCCTTTCCCTCTTTGTCCAGCCCGGTGGGCACACCACCGAACGCCCACAGCTGGGTGAGGCACAGCTCGTTGCTGCTTCCCTTCCAGCACCAGAGACTAAAAATAGGCGTGTCTGACAGCCTGTTCCCAGCCTGGCACCCAGTCAGTCCCCTCAGCCACAAGCAGCAGGAAAAGGGCTGTTAAGAAAGACTTTCTCAGCCTCAGACACATGTGTCAAGCTTATGGTGTCCTTTGTGAAAACATGTCCGAGTTCTAGTTTTGGTAGTTGTTTAAGATTACCCCAGAAGAATTGCAAGGAGACTCCCCCAGATGCCTAAATTTTATGAAATGAAATTCTGAGGTTCACTTTAAACAAAGGAATAAATGCAGTTTTAGGAAGAAAAGGAGCATATATTTTACATGCAACAGCAACAAAAAGCGGACATCCCTTCACAATGGCTAGACCAAGTGTGGTGCGGTACAGGTGGGTGCTGAAATTTAGAAGACTGTGCACCAGCACTCTAGGATGAAGAAAGTTCAGTGCACTATGCCTTATGTTTAGTTGTGTTCTCTTAGATGTAGTGAAGGAGGGCAAAACTTCTACTTGTAGGATCACCATCCCTCAGCTTCCCAATTCCCAGCCCCACCACCCAATAATGAATGGCCAAGCCCCACCCCCCACCTGTGAAATGTACATAAACCCATAGGCTTTATGTACATAAACCCATAGGCTTTCACAGCAGGAAGGGACAGTGCTAGGTACTTGGTTGTCCTCCACGGTATGACAGACTACAAGCTGCAGGCCAAATCTGGCCCAGCCTGGCCCAGGAACAAAACAAAACAAAAACTAAGAAGACTGTACTTAGTCCATAAAGTCTAAAATATTTACTAACTGGTCTTTATTGAAAAAGTTTGCCAAACCCTGCTCTCATTCAACCCCTTTGTTTTTCTGATGAAGAAACCAATGTCTAGACATGTAAAGTCACTGACGGTCAGCCGGGGAGTTGGTAACAGAGCCAGGACTGACCCAGGTTTGCAGAGTCTCCATCCTGTGTTCCTGCCATGACATCGTGCCCAAACCTTTGGGATAGAGATGTGGCTGCCCAGGAGGGCACAGCCTTGTTACCACACAGCCTTCCCTTCTAACTAGTGCTGACCCAACTCCATTGAGTTACTAAAGTCCCGCAGGATTAACCCCAGGCAAATAGGTTAGGTTAGCTTATTCTCCTCTCCAGGAGTCCTCTGCTCCTCTTTCACTTTCTCCTCCCACATCCCACTCCTTACGCAGTCTCCTACTCTGTGTTGCAAAGAAATGTCTGGGTTTTGACCTGTGATAGCTTTCTGTCACTATAACAAATACCTGAAATAATCAACTAATAAAGAGAAAAGATGGATTTTGGCACAGAGTTTTAGAGACTTCAATCCATGATTCGCCCCATTGGTTTGATTTTTTTATTTTATTTTATTTTATTTTATTTTATTTTATTTTAAAGATAAAAGAATGAAAATATTAACAAATAGACATCCATTTACAAAATAGCACAAGAACAATACAAGCAATACTGAAATACAGACAAGGTGATAGCAAATTAACAGTGATTGTTGTATTACATATTGACATCTTCAAAGTGGTTACTCAGGAAAACAAATATAGACATGCCAGATCGATCAAATAATTAATTATTAACTGTTCCTTTCAATAAAAACATAGAGCTTTGGCTCTGTGGTAAAAGATCATGGCGGAAGCTCACGGTAGAATCACTGTTTACCTAGTGAATGGAGGGAAAAAGAGAAAGAGAAGAGGAAAGGGTCCCACCACCAGTTTCAAAGGTGCGAGTGACCTAGGACTTAGACCATGCCACACCTCTGAAAGGTTCCACTACCACCCTGGGGAGCATGCCTCTAATACACAGGCCTTTGGCAAACATTCCAGAGCCAAACCTTAGCATCACTTGGCCTTCTTTTCCCTTTCCAGGTTCACTGCTGGCCTACAACACAACCTCCCACACAGACCAGTCCTCAAGACTGAGTGTCAAAGAAGGTGAGTCTGTTGTCTCACACACATGGAATGCTCTTCAAGGCATGATGCCATCCCCTCTGTTGAGATTGGGAGGAAGACTTCAGGTCTGTGCCCCAACTTCCTTTGTCACTCGATCCTTTCTAACACACAAAACAAGAAACTGAAGTTTTTACCATGTGTGCCACCAGCTGCAAAGCTATGGGAAAAGAGGTTTTGAAATATTTTGTAATGATTTCATAAAGATATAGCTTGAAGTTAATACTCCATGAAGGAAAATGTGTTGCCCTTGGAATGAAATGAATACTGCCTAATGAAAATTATGGGTTTGCTTTACTGAAGATAAGGAAATGAAGATCTCCAGGATTTGTGGCATGTCCACCTTTTAAGGTATCTTGACAATGCTGATTCATATTAAAGTAATGATTTGAGGATCTGGTTTGGTTTGGTTTGACTGAGAAAGCAAATCATCTCTATAAATGATTTTTGTCCAATGGAGACTTTAGTGAATATCATAGTAGCATTTCTCAGCCTCTTTGTGAAACAGCATCATAAGTTCTGGTCCAGGTACTATGTTAGCTTTTAGGCATTTAAAAAGTGAATACTTATGGTACCTGGTTAATAGAGAAAAAACTTGAACAGATAATTATTAGAAACCGGGGAAGGAGTGAAAAAAAAATCTTCCCACACCAAAAGAAAACTCCACAGAGGAAAGGCCTTTGAGTAGGAGCTTGTGGCACAATAAGATGACAGCAGGCAGCCTTTCTTCCATGGCTCTTTCTCCCTCCCTGTTTTTTCTTTTAAAAGTTTTAACATCTCTCAAAATACGGGATGAATGCAGGAAGCTTAGCTTATGTTTCATGTTGAATAGTGCGACATAATATTTCAAACATACATAAGGCTCATCTAAGGGAGGGGACCATTTGGTTCAAAATCCTTAAGAGAGATGGGGCTGGGGATATAGCTCAGTGGCATAAGCGCCTGCCTGGCAAGCACAAGGTTGTGAGTTCAATCCCTGGTACCACAAAAAAAAAAAAAAGAAAGAAAAAAGAAAAGACAATTATAATCAAAATCCTTAAGAGATCTGGAGAAACCGGAGATGCAAAGACCCTGTGTCTTGCCTAAGATGATATGGTGCATGTACTTTTAAACCTTCATGTTTTCATTTTGCCTCCTGTCATACTTCAGCATGGGCCAGTCCTGTTTCTGCCCTTTCTCCTTTCTGAATTAGATGTATTGAATGGTACCACGAAAACTGATTATATTGACTCATGCTACATTCTGAGCCACACTTGGCCTGAGGACCTACTTTAATGTCATATTGCAAATGTGTATAAGAGAAAATTTAGTTTCATGACAAATACATTGAGACCAGAGCACCCTTAGCTTACTTTGGGAAAACACTTCACCCCTGGGTCTCAGTTTCCTGTCTAATATGGGGGCTGAAACACGTGAGAGCCAGGCTCTGACTTAGCTCTTGGCTTCTGAGGAGAAGTCCAGGAGCCCCAGCTTGGGGGCTGAGGCCCTGTCCACAGCCATTCTGCTTGGATTTGTTTTATATATTCGGTTTCACTTCATTTGCGGATTTGGAAGGAATCAAGAGAGGGAGAAAGAGAAACCACCACTGGAGGGAGAGGAGGACAGAAGGGAAGAAGGCAGATTAAACCTTTGAACTGTTGCATTGGGTTTCACCGCTACAAATTGCAGCCTCCTGGCAACATCAGAAGGAAACGGCGAGGCTCTGGGGCAGCAGAGACAACGGAAGATTTTCTAATATGTGGCTTAAATGCAGGTTTTAGCTTAGAAACTGGTTTAGCTATGTTTAAAAGTGTTGCTCACCAGGTTCTTCCCGTCGGGGGTCTCAGGCCTCAGCCTTCAGCCCTCTTCTCTACCTGTGACCCGCATCCCCGCCCCCTGACCCTTTTGTGTTTGGGGAGTGCATTTGTACGGCCGCTCCCTTATTCAGGCTGATTGGCGAGCAGCTCCTCTTGCTAAGCAGCAGCCCCTCTTCTGCAAAGAATTGATGCCGTATCCAGACAAATGCACACCATGCGGCCGGGGCCCCATTCAGGTGGTATGTGGCATTTATCTCCCCGCATCAGCCCTGTCCTCTAGAGACCATTAAGTCTCGCTTTGCAGGTGCATCTTTTGTCCCCAGTAAAGCTCTCCACTTGAGCAGCCTTGCTCTTCTACGCTTCCCCTTGTGAGGTGGTCTGAGTCTGAACAACCCAGCGTGCCACAAAACAAAGTACATTAGCAAGACAAAGCTCACCAGGCTCCTCTCCCCTCCTTAGCCCCCTCCTCCCCACCTCCATCTCTCTTCTCTAATAGCTATCTCTATTTTTTAATATTAAATGAAGAAAGAAAGAAAGAGAAGACATCATGCAACCTTGGCTCCATCTCCTTTGAATAAGGTGCATACATAGCCCCAAAGAAAATCAGAGTTGGGCAAGAGCACCAGAGCTGTATGTGAGTGTGTGTGAGTGTGTGTCTACATGTGCTCCACAAAGGGCAGGTGCTGGCATTAGACACAAAGAAAAGAAGTTAAGGAGATGATTTCTATTAATGTGTCTTCAATGCCCTTATCAAATTAGAATGCGTTTTTACTTTAAAATAGAGTAATCTCCCTCCTCGCTTGTCTCTTGAAAAAAATGGCTGCAATCTCTAAGGTTGCCCCAAAAATAAGACTAGATTTCAAAAGTTAATTTATAGCAATCTTTAAACCTCTTTACATTAAATATTCTGTAGGTATGGGCTAGACCCAGCTAGAACAGCTGTATTCTTCCCACCACTAGTTATCAAATATAATGCACTTAATAAATTAGCTCACAAGTTATTGTTGCCCATTTACCCTGGCAGCCGCAACTGCTGCTTATGTAAGATTTTGGAGTACATCAGACACATGCTCATGCTTTGCCTGTGAGCCTTGCACCATCCCTAGGAGGGAAGTGAACTGTGGCAAAGGGAAGTGGGTTACTGGAGGGCAAAAGTGTTCCCTGGAACAGCAAGAATTTAGAGCCCCTTGCCTCACTAGCATTGTCCTGTAGAAGAGAGTACAACAGTGGCTGACAGGCTGGGAAGGTGGGGTGGGTGGAGAGGGGTGGAGAGAGGATGGTTAACGGGCACGAAGTCGGGCAGGAGGAATAACTTCTCATGTTCCGTAGCACAGTAGGGTAACTATAGCTGGCAACAAGGAATTGAATTTCAAAATAATTAGCTCAGTAATCCTTTCCAGAGGATTTTGAACACTCTCAGTACAAATAATGTACATGTACAATAATGTACATGTTTGAGGACATGTACGTATATGCCAACTGTCCTGATCTGATCATCGCACATTGTACATATAGTCAAAGTGTCATGTAATACCCAGTAAAATGTACAATTATGTATCAGAGAATATTTTTTAATTTAAAAAAGTCCCTTGTTTCCAAGGCTGATAAGAACAGTCTTCTCCTTTCTAGTTGTCTTTTCATGAAAGTAGTGTCAACTTACATGCAATCTGGGCAGAGATTTGAATTTTTTGTTCTAGTTTTTCCTTTGCTGCAGTTGCCTCTGGGATGACAGCTACCTCCCTAAACTGTTCTCTCCGTCTGAAGATGAGCTCAGACACAGTGTCCGCTTGGTAACATCCTGGGCCCAGACTGCACAGAGAACCCCTTGTAGATCTTTGTGAAATACACTACTGATGCTCTGGGATGGATACTCTCTGACCCTGCTCGTGGGAGATACCTAAAACAGCCGAATTCCTAGAGGAGGAAAGTAAGGGCTGGTTCCTGGGGTGGTCACCAGGAGCAGAGCAGGAGAAGGAAGGGTTGGTATTCACTGGATACAGTTTGAATGGAAAGAAGAAAGTTCTGGAGGTGGATGGTGTTGAGGATTGCACAGCCATGGGAATGCGCACAGTGCCACTGACCTGCACACTTCAAGGGGTTAAGGTGGTAAATTTTATGTTGTGTACACTTTATATTTTACTAAAGCCTGGACAAACAAATAAAGAAAACAAAAATAAAACTAAAAATACTGAAGCTCAAACCGAAACATGAACAATTAATTCCAAATCTCCAGGGCCTTGGAATCTGTTAAGTTCTCCAAGTCTCCATAACCTGCAACCCAGCGGACCAAACCGGCCTCACAGTGCAGAGACCACAAGAGCGAGAGTACAAGAGCCATCCTAGAGCCGTCCTGGTGCACTTAGAGATAACCTGCATGGTTGGCCTTGACCTGGCAAGGCCCCAGATCGTCCTAGACAAGGACCTTTGGTGTATTGAGAAGGCATAGCCAAGCAAAGGGGCTTTATGAGTATAATGAGTTCTTTCCATCATTCTCACTGATGATGTTGGAATTAGTACTGATTTTGACAACTTTACACATCTCAGAAATCCCCTTTTTCTGTGTCCTCCTTTGGGTAACAATCAGACCTAGTGTTGCCCCTTGACTTGGCAGGAAGACACTGAGGTTCTAGAAGTTAAGTGGCCTCTGCAAATGCATAAACATCTGGAGCCAGGGCCTCTGACTCTGCACATCTCCTTCTCTCCCATGCTGCCCGCCAGGCTGCAGACCTGAGTGTGTCTGCTCCAGTCCAGGTCAGAGCTTTTCTTTGTTTTTCTGGCAAACCCTGTCTGGGGCCTCCCCCGTGTGCTCAGCTGGACGAGCAGCGGCAGGCAGGAATCAGCAGATCTCTTCTAAGAGCTGCTTTGCATGCTAAACCCTCATTTCCTTTGCCCCTCATGCCGAAGCTGGTGAAATACCTCAGACTCTCCAAAGGACAGAGGATATTGAGCTCTTTGTTTATTAGCTCCTAAAACTCATAAACCTGCCCAGCACTGGTTGTGTGCTGAATCAAGCCCCCGCATGGTTGTCTCTCAGGACCGATTGCAGAATGAGAACATCGAAAACCAGGACCCCACGGTGGGGAGACTGACTGCCTGCAGGCTCCCCACTGCCAGCAGCTGCCCTGGCTGATGGATGAATGTCTGTCTCCTGATCTACCAGGATGGAGAAGAAAGGAGAAATTAACTTCT